GTTTCTTATTTGACTGAGAGGTGGCCTTTGGAGTGACTTCAGTTCCAGTTTAGAAGGGTGACTTAGGGCAATAGTCTCTGGGGTTCTTCCAATATCGACCGGCCGCTACCATTTTCTTTTAAAATGATGATATTTGATAATGAATTGCATATTTTATTGAACCTAAGAGTTAAGGTGGTAGGAAAGATGAAAGTGTGTCTTGCACTCAGCCTCCCCCTGGACCCCTCCAGCAGCAAGCTCTTGAGTTGGCTGTCATTGTCGACATCATATTGTGGAGGACCGGAGGTTCAGAGAAATGAATGAGTGCCTGGGACTAGAACCCAGGTTTGCCTGACTCCAAAGTTCTTCCTACTCACTGCAGTCCAGCGCTGCTCCACCCCAGACGCACCCCAGAGGCTTTACTCTTTCATTTTAGCTTTCCTTTCTTATCAGTGAAAGGATATTGGGGTGGGGGAGAATGAAAACAATGATGCTCCAAACTTCCGCATCTATTTTCATAACATTAAAGCAAATCTAGGAGAGGTTAAACTTATTTTCCTGACCTCATCAGGTGGGAGCATTGGAGCGCACAGATGACGGGCAGAACCATAGTCTTTTCATGTCAGGTAGCCTAATTAAAAAGAAAAATGATCACCAAAACAGAGGAGTTTAATCTGCCTACTAAGCTTCTAAGAATTTGGAACCATCTGGATGATTTAGTGGATTGTTGCTGGTCATGTAAATGGTGATGTATAATGGAGACACAGCTACTGTTTTATTTTATTTTTTTCTGTTTAAACTTTCCCTCTGGAAAGATGTTTTGGGAAAGGATAGAAGGATCTAGTCAGACCTTTCCATTTGTTGAGTGGATTGCATTTGTGCCCTCTCTTAAAATGATGCATTACCGTTTTTGTAAATGAATCTCATCATTAAAAATGAGCTGGCCTCCTTGTCCGCCTCCCTTAGCTTCTTGGGATGCAGGGCCAGCGCGCTGGGCTCCACACGCGGCAGTCCTGGCAGGGCCCCTGGGCCCAGGGGGATATTAACTTACAAAGCTTACCCTAGTTTGCTTTCACATGTCTGAAACTATCTCAGAACGTAGTGACTGAAATGCAAGTTATTAAATACAGTTTACTAGAAGTGCCTTTGACAATCCTGCTCCCCCCCCCACACACACTTTGGAGAGAAGATGGTTGGGAAATGAATTAGTATATTTCAAAATCTTATGTCCTGGCTATTTCTTAATATCGGTACATAGAGTTTATAAAAGGCTCATTACCATGAAAATCATATTGAGAAGGTGCATTTAGATCCTGATTTTTTTTCCCGTGTTTTTGCAAACAATTTTGTTTGATTAATTTTTCAGTTTAAGCTGAGTGTGAGGTGAATTTGAAAAGAGGGTGTCTTGGGTTTCTAGTTGTTAGAGCTTCCATCCTTCCCTTGCTTTGCAAAGGTTTCCTGTCCCCTCTTTTGGCAGGGTTTTAGCTCCAGGAAATCAAGTACCAAGTGTGGGAGCTGGCCCCCAAAGCCGCTAGGAAGAGGTGGAGTTTTATCTTGGTCCACGTCCGACTCCAGTGCGGCTCAGTACAAATGTGCAGTGCACACGGGTCTGCCTCTCTCAGTGTGCCTTGGCCACCTCACCCCACCCGTGTGTGCCAGCGACTAGACACTCCTTGGGTCCAGTCACAGGAGCCGGGGAAGTGTCTGTGGGTCTCTGGCAGCTGGAAAAGGTTTGAGTCCCTTTGGCAGATGTTTGCTGTTTCAGACACTTCATTAATGTTGGAAACAAAACCCTTGATTCTTCTTGACCGGAGCCCCACTTCGTGATTGACAGCCGGGGTGTGCTTCTTACCACAGACGCCCTTGTACAGTCCCCGAAAGCAGGAGAGTCAGACTTGAAATGAGGGAGGTGAGAGGGAGGAAGGAATTAGGTTAGATGCTATTGCTCAAAAACCAGAAAAATACCAAGGAAGGCCACAGAGAGGGAGACAAAGTTGGTATAGACTCAAGTAGAGAGAAAGACACTTAGCACAACTGTGTATGATTTGAAGTCCCATCATGCGCTCAGGTCTATGAGACATGTTAGGTAACTTAGTTATCCTACCTTTGATGCCTTTATTCAGTCATCCCCTATTTTCTGCAAATCCGCTATGCTGGTGCTGGTGCTACGAGTCCTGTGGGCTAAGTAAATGCCAGCCTGCCCCAAGGAGAGCCAAACACAAGAAAGGGCAGGCTAAGCCAGAGGAGTGAACAGCGATTGCCTGCCACAGGGACTGGCTTCACTGAGATGGCATTTGAGATGGGTCTTGAACTAGTTTTTCAGGCAAAGAGAAGGGAGGGGTGGGCTGCCAGGAAACTGAACGTACAGGCTCGGATCATGAAAGGCCAACGTTGTGCAGCAGGATTTTATGATGACCATTTTCAAATGAAAGCAAACAAAACAAAAAGCCCGAACAACCGAGGCTCCGATTATTTTAGAAACCTTCCCACATTCGTAAGTGCAGAGGCTCCAGGCTCCATCCGCAGATTGGGATCAATCTCTTCACCACACGTGGGAATGTGTGTCCACATTCCACCACTTCGCTGAGATTTCTTACTCCCATGGCAGAAAATCATAAAGCTGTAAAATACAAGGAGCTGAATTGAACTGTCTTATTTTCTTCAGTGAGTAAAAAAACTCCAGTCTCAAATTAATTGGTCAAAGGTCTGGCGCATGTTGCGCCCTGAACTCTGGACGCGGGAGGAATGAGGGTTCGGACAGCGATGCCTACGGTACAGCAGTGGTCAGGCCACAGGGACACCAGGGCGGGCTCCAGTCGGGATTTGAGATGAGGGGGGAAGAGGGGGTAAAGGAGAATGGGAGGAGGAAAAGGGGAATAAGAATGGGAGAGGAGGAGAAAGTAAAGCTGAAAAGAGGAACGATTTGACCACAATGGGCTCTAGACGCAGGGAGGACCATAGAGGCAAAAGGAGCGACGACGGAGAGGGCACACGGGAGGAATCAGAAACGCCAGAACTGGGAATCGTTCCTCACGGGGAGCAGAAAGCAATGGAGGAAAAGACCGAGCAGCCTGGGGCACGTGGGGTACCAGGAGCGCCGGGAGGGCCTACCAAAGGCGCCAACGCGGCCCGCTGCTTCCCTCGCAGCCAGCGCGTCGGGCAATGCTGGTTGCACTGGGAAACTGGGGCTGGCAGTCCGAGCTGCCCTGAAACAGACGTCCCTCGTGTCCCCGCAGCTCATTGTTCTAGGGGCACATCCAGGCTTCGGCCCAGCATTCTCCCCCGTGGGGGTCTGCGGTTCGCGGCGCAGCCCGCCCGGAGAAAGTCCCCAGGCGTCTGGGCCGCGGTCGCGGCGAGTGCAGGGGCCCTGGGTGGGCGCCCCAGCCCCGCGGGGCCCTCGCCGGGGCACCTGGCCGCCGACCTTTTCCGAGCGCAGGAAAATCCACGAAAACAATGCTAATGCGATCGGCGGGGAGGGGCGCGGGGGGCTGAATCACGTCGGGGGTTGGTGCTCCACGGA